ATATTTTCCTCTTTTTTTTCTTTCTATTTGTGTATGTGTGTTTAGGAGAATAAAGAAACTCAAGCAACATTTAAACATTTTTAAATACTCCTTTTAAGTCTTACTCCATATATATATATATATATATATATATATATATATATATATATATATATATATATATATATATATATATATATATATATATTTATTTATATTATTAACCCCTCTATTTATTTTTTTCCCTAATTTCTGTTTAACAGAGAGAAGATTCTTTCAACATTTCTAAACATAATAGTTTTAATAACTCATTTCTAATAGCTGATTTATTTTATCTTTGCCATGATGACAGTAAATAATATTATTTTTTAAGTCTATTTTTTAAGTCACTTCTATACAGCTTAAAGTGACATTTAAAAGCTTAAATAGGTTAATTAGGTTAACTAGACAGTATTAAAGTGCTATTGTATTACAATGGTTTATCGGAAAAACTAGCTTAAGGGGCTTATAATTTTGACCTTAAAATGTTTGTTTTTTTAATTTAAAACTGCTTTTATTCTAGCCAAAATATAACAAATAAGACTTTCTCCAGAAGAAAAAATGTTATCAAACATACTGTGAAAATGTCATTGCTCTGTTGAAAATAATCTGGGAAATATTTAAAAAAGAAAAAATTGATTCAAAGGTGGGATAATAATTCTGACTTCAACTGTGTATATATATATATATATATATATATATATATATATATATATATGTGTGTGTGTGTGTGTGTGTGTGTGTGTGTGTGTGTGTGTGTGTGTGTAATCTATAAAACACTTTTACTATAATTGCAACTGCCATTTCATTACGTTTCTGAAAATATTAACCATATATAAATATTATATTCTTAAAAGTATTTTTTTTGTTTTTTTGAAAAAAAAATTATATATATATATATATATATATATATATATATATATATATATATATATATATATATATATATATATATATATATATATATATTCAGCATATTCTTTGTGGCTAAATCTTTTTTTGGAGGTCTTTGTCCATGCTTTCTAGACATGCAGGTGTTGTGTTACCTGGGCAAATGTGACTGTGTGTGTCAAGTGTAAGAATAAAGAGCAACCCGGCTCTCCAGAGTAGCCTCGTTCCCCTTCTGCAGCCACAACAAAGCATATTCATCTTCAGATATAAAACTGTCCTGCTCTTCTTCATGTGTTGCTGTTTACAGTCTGTGTCTCTGTTTTTAGGTGTGTGTATGTGTGCCTGCTGCCATGTTGAGTTGTGTTGTTCACTGCATGCACAGTGGGAGTGAGGACAGTGACCCTCGGCTACAGAGCATCCCGCTGTCACACATCAGGAGGCAGACACTGCCCAAATGCAGCATATCTGAAGTGAACAGTGCTCTTAATAGCTTACATAAGGCTTTGTGCCCCTCAATAAAATAAATCAGTGCTGGGGGTAACTGAAGCTACTAACTTAACAACATGACAGCACTAAATTAGCTACTTTTATAAATAATGCATTATATATATATATATATATATATATATATATATATATATATATATATATATATATATATATATAGTCTTTTCTGACTGCTATCCTGTGTATGACCTGGCCTGTTTGTATCATGTACGTTTCTTGTTTTTGCCCTTTTGCTCCATGCCAGACTGATTATTATTGACCCACTATCTGCCTAAAGCTGAGGTCACACTGAACTTTTCTCCCCATAGACTTCCATTTATACGCACGCGAACTGGTGAACTCTGACCTGCCAAATCGCATCACTTGAGTGCGGGAGACCAATCAAGGATCAAAACATGACCCCTCTGGAAAGAAAATTAAAACATGGAGCAATTGCTCTCTTTTTTAATGTCTAATCATCTTGTTTAATCCCACCCCTTTTCACAGCACCGCATGACAGAATTTTGCATTATCAAACTCTAGTGTGACCGCATCTTTATTACTCACGTCTGTTGGATTTCCCCTGTGTTTGTTGAAAGATCAGGGGCCTCATGTACGAAGACTTGCGTGGAAATCTTACTAAAACATTGCGTACGCACAAAGCTGTAAATGTGCGTACGCAGAAAAAAATTCAGATGTATGAAACACTGCGTACGCCGAATCTCACGCATATTCTTTTGTACATCCGAATGAACGTGAAACTGAGCGCAACATGCACGAGCACAAAACCCCTACCTGCCTCCTCCCCCGTATGAATATGCTAATGACTATGCTAATGACAAAACCCAACGAAAAAGCAATGGCAAAATCAAGCAAAAAGAGAAACTTTGAACAGAATGTGAAATGGAGGTGCTGCTTTTGGAGGTAGACCAGAGAAAAGCGGTGTTATTTGCAAGTTTGTTCTCCGGAATTAACAACAAAAGAAAAAAAAACAGAGTGGGAGAGTTTAGCTGATGCGGGTAACACAGTTGGGTCTGAACATCACACTGAGTTCATTAAAAAAAGAAATAGTGTGGTTTATATCTGTAAAATGTTGCAGTACCCTTAGCAGTCTCTGTGGCGCACCTCGTAAGACGCATGTGATCATGTATTGACACGTTCGAGCATGAACTCGGCTCGAATCCAGCGTCTGATGATCTCTTCTTTTTTTCCCTGCTTCATATCAGATTTTGCCCACTATTTATCACGAGAAAGACAAGTAGGATTCATCAATAAGTTTGTGCATCATATTTTATTTGCACATTTATTGACTGGAAATGTTTCTGATTCACGCATGCAAATTCATCTTCAGATAGTGTCTTTATAGCAATGTGCGTGCAGTAGATAGCTCAGATTACATTGGGAAAACAGGTGACTGCTGCAAATTGTGCTTTAATGTTTAGCTGGTCAACTGTATGGTATGGAAACCTTACATACCTACTAGATGAACCCGTCTCATACAGCTGCCATTGCAAGGCTCAGACACTTTGTAGAGAGGAATTTAACACAACTGCCTCTAGGAGTCGCCAATGGAAATAAAACAGACACGCACAAAAAATGAGCGTACGCCAGCCAGAAAGCTGCCGTGAAGCTGCGCACATTCCCACGTTCAGTTCATCGTTAGTAAATCCAAACGTGAGCGATTCTGAGCGTGAAACCTGGCGTTTGCAAAGTTTTTGTGCGTACGCAGCGTTGCTACATGAGGCCCCTGGACTGCTCACCTGTTAATACTAATCCTACCCTTAAAAGAAACCATACTGCTAATCTATACAACTAAACATACCCTTAAACCCAACCATGTCACTAAACACACTGTTAAAGTTACTCATACCACTTAACCATAACCTTAAATTTGTTCACAATCTCGCAAACATTGACATTAATAGCATCAAAAGTGTTCTAACATATAATGTTCACTATTTGTCTCAAAAAAGTGGTGGGAAAGCAATCCAATTAGGTGAATTCATTTAGACCAGGATTCATTTAAACCGGGGGTGTCCAAACTCGGTCCTAGAGGGCCGGTGTCCTGGAGAGTTTAACTCCAACCCTAACCAAACACACCTGAACCAGCTTATTAAGCTCTTAGATCAGGGATGTCAAACTCAGTTCCTGGAGGGCCACAGCTCTGCACAGTTTAGTTCCAACTCTGCTCTAACACACTCACCTGTAGGTTTCAAACAAGCCTGAAGAACTCAATTAGTTTGATCAGGTGTGTTTAATTAGGGTTGAAACTAAAATGTGCAGGGCTGCGGCCCTTCAGGAATTGAGTTTGACATCCCTGTCTTAGATGTACTAGAAAATTAATGGCAGGTGTTTTGAAGCAAGCTGGAGCTAAACTCAGCAGGACAAAGGCCCTCCAAGACAGGGTTTGGACATCTCTTATGTTCTCAAACTCAATTCCTAGAGGGCCGCAGCTCTTCATAGTTTAGCTCACCCAGCTCCAACTCACATCTGCTTAATAGTCTAGGAGTGTTGAACACCTTGATTAGTTTCATCAGCTGAATTTTATAAGGGTTGGAGCAAAACTGTGCAGCGCTGCGGCACTCCAGAAAATGAGTTTGAGACCCATGATTTAGATGGATCGATTCAGATGGATAGAACCATTGAAACATTTTTGTAAGATTTACAACACAATCTCATGCAGCACCAGTGGCTAATTTGCATGAATTAGTAAAATATCATTCGTACAGTTTAGTACATGGGTCTCAAACTTGATTCCTGGAGGGCGGCAGGTCTGCACAGCTTTACTCCAACCATAATTAAACACAGCTGATGCAACTAATCAAGATGTTCAAGGTTACTAGAAGGCAGGTGTGAGTTGGATGTGATTTGAGCTAAACTATACAGAGCTGAGGCCCTCCAGGAATTGAGTTTGAGACCACTGTTTTAGTGTGATTATCTCATCCCCCAATGACGGTTGGGTTTAGGGGCACACCTTCTTTTAAAAATGATATGTTATCACGTAAATTAACTCATACAAAATCATACGAATTAGCCACTTTCTCTCAAAACACGTAAAATAGTTGTTTCCGCATGAGATTGGGCTGAAGTTATTAGACATTTCATATTTTTTTTTCTTTGAGGGATTGAACTGAAATACAAATTGTTTTTACATTTACATTTACATTAAGTCATTTAGCAGATGCTTTTATCCAAGTCAAACATGTAAAAAAAAAATAGGCAATGTAATATTTTTTGCAAAATCATTTGTTTTAGGGGTGAATTTTTACTACAGCTTTACTAAATACTATAACATTTAGTTTAATTAAACTATCCCTTATTTTTGCCTTTTAAAATTTCCCATTTATTTTTATATTTTTTATATTATTTTTTCATACACTTTAATTGGGATCCTCACTATTTTCAGCCATATTACAACTTACAACATTAAATAAATAACAACCTTGTAGTGTTGCTAAAAGGCTGTATTTAAATGAAATAGCAGTAGCTTCAAAGTAGCTCCCCAACACTCCTTCCTCATAATGATTGTTTGTGCCCTCAAATGACACTATTATGCATATGCAAATTGAGATTATTGAGCAAAATGGGCAAGAAGTCAGACAAACCTTTTCTCTGAGGCTGATCACCTCTCCCTCTAGGTAGCGCTGCTCATCTCTGGCCTGCTCCAGCTCCAGCTCCTTTCCCTTCAGCTCTTCCTGGAGCCGAAGCAGTTGCTGTGGAGACAAACAGCATCGTGAGCAGAAGAAGCAGATGGCTGGAACAATGAGCAGCGTGTGGGGCAGCGTGGTACCCTCATAAAAAAATGCCACATAAACATTATTCAACCGCATAAAGTAAAACCAATAGGAGAATGAGTGCTAGGTCGACTGAAGCAGACCTTTAATACCTGCTGAAATGTTCCATTGGTTTTTAGCTTGCTGAAAAAAAAAAAAAAAGAAAGAAATAGGTCTGGAATTTTCTCTAATTTATGTTAACATATTCTAGTACACCATGGATGATGTAACTTACAATATGGATAACACCATTTAGTACTCACAAAAATAACATTCTCATCTTTTAAATTATATTTTTTCTATTTAATTAATACAGTAAAGATAGTAACATTGTTAAATCTAACAAAATAAAATCACTTCTTTATATATTTTTGCATAATTTATTCCTGTATTTTCCAGTCTTCAGTCACATGATCATACAAAAATTTGTCCCTAACCCTACCCTCAAATCATACAATTAAACTCACCCTTAAACATTTGCTTAAATCAAACCACATTATTAATTCTACTCTTCTCTTAAAACCTAAACCTACCAATCCAACTGAACCTACTCTAAAACAAACCAACACCACTAAACCTACCAATACCAATAAACCTACTGTACCTCTAAACCCTAATAAATACCACTAAACCTACTCCAAAACCTACCAAAAAACTACTAATCCTTCACTAAAACCTACTAATAAAAGCCTACCAATACTGCTAAAACCAGCCTTAAACCTATCAATACAACCTATAAATACAACTTACCCTACTATAGAACCCATCAAAACAATTAAACCTACCAATAAAACCTTCTAAAACTGCTAAACTTGCCCTAAATCTGACCAATAAAACCTATTAATTCCATGTTTAGGCTGCGTCCCAACTCGCATACTTATGCACTATTCTACGCCATTTTGTAGTATAAATAGTGTCAGTAAGTTCACATTGAAAACTCTAAAAATAGTGAGTACTCTTCAATTACCCGGATCATGCACTCATTCAGCCGGTAAAATGAAGTGTGTAGTGATGGACGCTTCACACACTCAATGGCCGCAGGTTTGCTTACGTAGAGGAAGGGGCGGAGCTATCGGGCGCTCATGTTGGATAACTTTATTAATTTTAGATTATGAAAGCAAAATTCTCCTACGAGAGTGATTATTGCGCCTCCCGATGGTAAATGTGGTTATACTCATGGCAGGTATTATTTGGAAGTTTGGTCATTTATTTCACTAATTCAGCGACCGTCAGACGTCATCAGGAAAACGGGTTGAATTTCCGCTTAGTAAAAAAAAACATTAGTGCGACACTACAAACATATACTATGCTGTTGAGTGTGTAAGTGCATAAGTGCATAAATATATAGTGCATGAGTGCATAGTATATAGTGTGCCATTTGGGATGCAGCATCAGTTCTAACCCTGATCAAAGACACCTGAACCAATTAATTAGGATGTGAAAAGCACTGGATAATTACAGGCAGGTGTATTTAATATGGGTTGTACTTGCAACTGAAATCTGCTAGACAATAGATCTCCAGCAGCAGGGTTGGTTACCCCTGCACTAAATCTAGAAATAGCTACCCTTACCACATAACCTACCCTAGAACCTACCAAAACCACAAAGCCTACAATTAAATAAACTAATACCACTAAACCTACAATACCCCTAAAACCCACCAATACCGCTAAAACTACCCTAAAACCTATCAATAAAATCTACCAATACCACTAAACCTACTGTAGAACATACCAAATCTACTAAACTTACCCTAGAACCCAATGTTCAATAAAACAAATCAACCAACTGCACAATATTAAAACCCCTCAATACCTCAATACACTAAATATATCCTTAAAAGTACCAAATCAAACCTACCAAAACCACAAATCGACTCTTAGTGTCTTAGTGACTCGGTCCCAGTCATTCCCCTTGCTGGCCAGCAGAGGTCATCATCACTATAACATTACATCATCCTATCAGACACTGATTGCAACACTCCTGCTGCACATCACACTGATCACCCGCACACACACATATAAGTAGCCCAAACACACACTACACTGCAAAGTCATGTTCTGCCTTGCTGACATTTCTGGGCAGTCCTTATCCTTGCCTAATCTCTTTGTTATAACCCGGACTGTCCCTGCCGCCTGCCTCGAACCCTGCATTGTTATTGACCTTGATCCACGCCGCATGCCTCTGACCCATGCCTGTTATCACAGTCCTTGAAGGGCAGCTGCCAGCCTATCGACCTTATTCTACCGTGTTTGATGTGAGTTCACACACTAGTACATACTGTGTGCTTGTTATTAAACTGTGTTTAATAAATATACTGCAAATGGATCCCTCTGTGTCAGACTCCTTGTTACACTTAGTCTGATTACCAAAACCACTTAACCTACCCTGGTATCTTATGTTATCACTAAACTACACCTACCCTAAAAACCTATCAATACCAATGTACATGTACTTTTTTATGATTAGTCAATTCCAGAAAATAATTGTAAAAAAACCATCAAATTTACCAATACCACTAAACCTACCCTAAAGCCTATCAATAAAAACTACCAATATCCCTAAAACAACCCTCAAGCCTATAAATACCACTAAAATCACACTTAAACCTATAATTAAAAACTGCCAATACTACTAAACCTACCCTAAAGCCTACCAATACCACTAAACCTATTCTTAAATGTACCAATACCATTAAATCTACCCTAGAACATATCAATAACACATACCAATACCACTAATCTTACCCTAATCCCTAAAACCTACCAATACCACTAAACCTAACCTAAAACTTACCAATACCACCTACCAATTTCACTAAACCTACTGAGAGCACTGAATCTACACTAAAACTATCACTAAACCTACTCTAGAACCTACAAAAAACTATTAAACCTGCTCTACAACCTACTAATGAAACCTAGCAATACCACTAAAATTACCCCAAAACTTACCAATATCACTAAAACTACCTTAAAACTCTTACTACACTTATTTTAAACCAAAAAATGCCAATAAATCTACCCTACCACTTACCAAACCACTAAAATTGACTAGCTCTAAACCTGCTCTAGAACCTATCCAAACTCTTCAACCTACCAATACACACCTACCGATACACTTAAACAATCATAAAACTTACCAAATCACTAAACCTACCCTTGAACCTACCAAAACCACTAAACCTACCCTAAAATTGACCAATGAAACCTACCAATACCACTAAACCTGCCCTTAACCCTATCAATACCACTAAAGCTTGATGTATTTTTCATAATTGAGTCAATTCCAGATGACAAAAAATGCAGTAAAAATATTGTCAATATCTAAAAATATGATTACAGTTTTAAATGACGACAGTATTTTATTTTCTTGTTATGTATTAATATTATCATTGTTAAAAAGATGAATTTGCCTTTTAAAATACGTACCAGAACAGTACTGCATTTTACCTGTGCTTAAAATAACTTTAAAACTAAAAGTCAATATTAAAAAAAAAGTTCTCCAACCATTAAATTAAATAACAACAGGCCACTGTGCTCCATATAAATCTAAATATCATCTTGCTCTTCCCACTAAAAGGATTTTCATTTCTTACATTAGTATTGATCTTGTTCGTAAAAACCTTCTGCACAATGTAAAGTGAGTAAAGAAAGAGAGTCACTGCCTCCTGTGCATTATACCAGTCTGTGTCCTGAAAAACACTGTGTCCAATCATTATTTAAGCTCATTTGACGGCTAAATAATGGAGGTGGGTGTGTTTGTGTTCCAGATGGAGCTCTGACGTGTGAGCATGATCAACACTTCCGCTCTACTCATCTTTTGCGTATGTTTGAATGTTTCAAAGGTGTCTGCAAGAGGATCTTCAAATTCAGTCCTTCATATCTGTGATCAAGTTTTAACCTGGTATTAAGATTTGTTTTTGCTAATCACACTTTTATAAATAGAGCTATTGCCACAGTCAAATCACCCTGCAGCCTAACACTGGTTACTCACTGAAGCTAAGCAGGGCTAAGCCTGGTCAGTAGCTGAATGGGAGATCACATCGAAAAATAAGATTGCTGTTGGAAGTGGTGTTAGTGAGACCAGCAGCGGGTACTCAATCTGCAGTCTGAGTCCTAATGCCCTAGTATAGTGAAGGGGACACTATATTGTCAGTGAGTACCGTCTTTTGGATGAGACTTTAAACTGAGGTCCTGTCTCAGTGGTCATTAAAAACTACATGGCACTTGCCGTATTGAGTAGGGTTGTAACCCCAATCTCCAAATACCCTCCATTAGCCCTTACCCATCATGATCTACCAATAGCTGGAGTGTGTTGAATGCACTGGCGCCATTGTCCTGTGGCTGCCGTTGCATCATCCAAATGGATGCTGCACACTGGTGGTGGTCTTGAGAGACCCCCTTCATGATTGTGAAGTGCTTAGGGTATATGGACATACACAATAAATGCACTATATAAATACGCAATACATTACATTACGAGAAATAAAGGTATGGAAGCTGTCACTGGGGTGGTACCTTTTCAGAAGGTACACAATCGTGCCTAAAGGGTTGAAATTAGTACCTGAAAAGCACAAAAGTTTACATCTTGAAAGTTTTAGGTAATATGTACTATTGAGGTAACAATACAACGCTAAACCCAAGTGTAAACAAAGCACTTTTGCGCACTTTTGATCTCATCCAGGTGGAGCTGAGAAAACATTTCACCGACCTTTATTAATATAATGCTTTGTGCAATACAGATTATTAACAGCGATACATATGCAAAAAAGTAGTCAGGTTTGAAGTTCATCAGTGTGAAACAAGTTCTGTCCTTCAAATAGTTCCACAGAAATTTTTTTCCAGTTTGTCCATTCAGCTTTACCAGAAATATAGTCCAATATAAAATATCTATTGTAATGCTATTTCACAGCATTATTGTTTTCACTTATTTGGTGTCTGATCTGGGGTTAGCATGTTGAGCTAAAGCACAACATGTCAACTCTAGTATGGTCAACATTTTAAAAGTTAAACAGTAATTTAAACCACAGTAAGAATTAGACTTTATGTTTTTGAGCACTTTACGTTATTTTACATTTATTATGGATTCGGTATACTGCACGTTATATTTTCGTTGCATGTCATTCCAGTTAAGGAAAATAACTACAGAATTCCTGAAATGCATCCACAATTCTAGAATGAGTCATGTGTGAATGAGTTATGTATGTTCTTCTGACAATTTTTGTGTATGACATTTTTGTGTACGTTTCAACGTTTCACATAGTCTTTGACCCTAGTTAATTTTTCAAACGTTATTAATAATTTAATAATTTGCAAATAATTAAAAATGTCATACAGTGTACATACAGTAATAACTTATAAAGTGTAACAAAGCCTAATTTGTTGGTCAGATTGCTTTCTTACCACAAGCTAATCACTTGAAAGTTGTTGTCTTTTTCAAGTGTGCTGAGATCATCAGATTTGTTTTGATTTGATTGTTGCGTTCACTTATGCCCAAGCGAACTGAACCAAGAAAGAAAACACACCGGGTTCCAAAACAAAGAGCTCATTATAAAAGCACAATCAAGGCCTGTGCACACCGAGACGTTTTTTGCTCACGTTTTCTGTCAAAAAAAAAACTGCTCATGCTCGCTTGTTTTTATTTGACGGACCGCGTTAAAGCCTTCTTTGCCAGTCAATTTGGCACTTTACACTTATTGCTTTGTGAACAATAATCATTTCTTCATCGCTAGAGCTGAAGCTGCTACTTGAACCATCTATGCTTGTTCGAGTCACCAGTAACTTTAACAAGCATGTAAACTTCCTGTCTTCCTCTTCTTCTGTGTTACAAGTGCGTGTCGGAAGCTTAAAATTGTGTGGCGCCATCTAACATCAAGGAGTGATTTTGCATACTCTTCTGCTTGATGCCAGTGAATATCGCTTAGGTTTGAATGCAGAAAAACGTCTCGTAAAACGCTGACAATAAACGCAAACAAAAAGTTTCCCGGTGTGTAGGAGCCTTAAGACTGCGTAGTGGTTTTTACCTGCTGCATGTTCTGCATGGTCTGCTGTAGGAAGTGAAGCTGCTGTTCATGTGTGTGGTCCTCCTCAGTCCGATACATTTTGCCCTGCTCCTTCTTCAGCAGCTCCACCTCGTTCCTATAAGCATCCAGCTGCCAGCGCAGACTGTCGTTTTCCTCCCGCAGAGCACATGACTGCGCGGACAACACTGCTCTCAGAGAAACAGAAGAAAGACAGACATGAAGTGAGCCTTTTATTTTCCCTAATTTGTCAGTTTACCCTTGGATCACCATGACTAAGCCGATGGGACCTTATTGACCTTAAAGTAGTTGACCAGCTTTATCAACTGAAAGCTCAAAGTATACTTTCACAAAGTATACTTTTGTGTCCACATACAAGGTGAATGTTATTAAAAGAGGGGTCTACTTGCTGGTACAGCATCCTTGCCTAAAGTATCTTTCATGGTACCCATAAATCAGATACAATATATGTATATTACTTATATGACATACAAGTTTGGATTTGACATGTATAACATATTTTTGGCCACTTACATGTATAGTTTTTCCCAGCCATATAAATTTTAAATGTGTACATACTGTTTATGTTCTAAAAATATTTTATATAATTATATATGGTCATATATAAACACATATATAACACCATAGATCATATATATGTACTGTAATTCAAATGTTTAAAGAAAAAAGTTGAAGGCAGCCGTTTTGGCAAAATTTTGAAATATATGCTGCATATATGTGGCATTTATTTTATATATGTGAATTACAAATATGAACTTGTATTCCAAATTTGTAATTTGCATATATTGCCCAATCAGATTTCTAAGATGAAGTGAAATTATGGCAGACACACTAGGTCGTAGACTGCCCATTTTTCTCAATAAAAATGAACCAAATATTTAAAAGGTGTAAATATAAATGGGTTAGGTGCAGGTATTCTTCTCTCATTAAGATGTTCTCATTAACACTCAATGTGTTATTGCATACTGTTTTATATATGTTTTTATATTTATATAAACAGCATCTATGATTTAGATGTAATGTATGGCATGTAAATAGCACTTGCCTAAGAAAATAGAGTTATTTTCACTTTCACATCAAAACCACTAAACCTACCCTAAATCTGATCAGTAAAACCTACCAATATCACTACTTTTAAACATGCCAATAAAACCTACCAGAACTACTAAATCTACTCTAAATCTGACCCATAAAACCCACCAATACCACTAATCATACCCTGACAAATACCACTAAACCTACCCTAAATCTGATCAATAAAACCTACAAAAACCACTAAACATACCCTGAAATTCACAAATACCAATAAACCTACCTTTAACCCTACCAATAAAACCTACCAAAACAACTAAATCTACTCTATATCTGACCAATAAAACCTACCAATACAACAAAACCTACCCTGAAACCTACCAATACCCTTAAACTTTACCAATAAAACCTACCAAAATTACTAAACCTACCCTAAATCTGACAAATAAAACCTTCCAATACCACAAAACCTACCCCGAAACCTATGCACCAATACCTCTTAACCTACCCTGAAACCTACCGATAAAAACTACCACATATACTAAACCTACCAAAATCTGACCAATAAAACCTACTAATACCACTAAATCTACCCTGAAACCTAACAATACTACTAAACCTACCTTTAAACATACCAATAAAACCTACCAGTACCACTTAACATACCCTGAAACCCACCAATACCATTATACCTACGTTTAAACCTACCAACAAAACTTACCAAAACTACTAAACCCACCCTAAATCTGACTAATAAAACTTACCAAAACCACTAAACCTACCCTAAAACTTACTAATACCCCAAAACCTCCCTTTAAACCCACTAACAAAACTTACCATTAACACTAAACCTACCCTAGAACCTAACAACGTTTTGTAAATGTGTTGGTTAAACCCTTGACGTGCACTAAATGTTCTTTTTTAAATGTTCTCTCTTCAAAATTTGTGTTGACTAAAAGAGTTATATATGAACAAACCCTTTAAAATAATCTTAAAATATTAAAATAATGCAAAGTAATTTACAATAATCTTAAAAAAAATTGTTAAGTTTAGGTTATGTTATAGCTCTTCATTTCCCTTTTGCTTAGTCCCTTATTTATCAGGAGTTGCCACAGTAGAATGAACTGCTAACTATTTTGGCATATGTTTTGCGGAGCGGATGCCCTTCCAGCCACAACCCAGTACTGGGAAAACTTTTCACTAGTGTGAAATAATATCTCACGGAATAAAATAGCTCAAAATTGACCAGTGCATAGCTGTTAGTGTCTTGCATTAATTGGTCCTTACTGAACTGCTTCTCTCAGGGTGCAACCAGTGCTCTGTTTCCTAATCTAACAGCATATAAGACGAGTTCTGCTATCAGCCCGTCTGCTTGAATCAGTATATCAGTCATCGCGGCAGGCTTTGGAGTGAGTTATGATTCAGAGCTGAAATTGATGGTGAAGTTTGCATAACAACTTGGTCACTGTGCTGAGTGTCTGCTGTGTCAACAGAGAATCTCACCTATTAGATATTCCTTCCTGCCACTGGAAATACTTATTTTATTGAGCCAGAGCTAGTGCACTGTGACAGGTCATGAAATATCGCTGAGCTCAGAATCCCCTGACACTTTCTGCCGCCTTCCTCTGCTGAAGCAATATCATTCATAATCAGATTTGCTGTGGGATACACGCAGGACGGAGAGTGCAATCACTCATGTTGATATCTCAGCACAAATACTGTTGTACTCAAGGTTATCTGAAGGATGCTAGCGCTCTGTTTAAATAAAACTAGTAAATACACGTGTGAAAGGTAGTAAAAACAGTGCAGCTGATTTAATTCAAGTGAGATTGTGTTTGGTTGGTTGTTTGGTTGGTTTATTTAATTTGATTGGTTGGTTGGTTGGTTGGTTTAAATTGATTGATTGACTAATTGATTGTTTGGTTTTGTTTTGTTTCAATGGTTGGTTGGTTTAGTTTGATTGGTTGATTAATTGATTGTTTGTTTGGTTTTGTTTTGTTTCAATGGTTGGTTGGTTAAATTTGATTGGTAGGTTGATTGATTTGTTTATTGATTGGTTAGTTAGTTTTGGTTTGGTTGGTTGGTGGGTTTAATTTGACTGAGTTGATTAATTGGTTGGTTGGTTTTAGTGGTTGGTTGGTTTGATTTTATTGATTTGATTGATTAATTTTGTTTTGATGGTTGGTTGGTTGGTTTAATTTGATTGGTTGGGTTATTGATTCGTTGATTGTTTTGTGGTTGGGTTAATTTGATTTGATTGACTGGTTAATTTGTTGATTGATTGATTTGGTTGACTAGTTTTGTTTTGATGGTTGGTTGGTCGGTTGGTGTATTTTTATTGGTTTAATTTGATTGGTTGGTTGAATGGTTTATTGATTGGTTGGTCTTGTTGTGGTGGTTAGTTGGTTTAAATTGATTGATTGATTGATTGATTGATTGATTGATTGATTGATTGATTGATTGATTGATTGATATATTTGGATGGTTGGTTGGTTTTGTTTTGTTGGTTGGTTGGTTGGTTGGTTGGTTTAAATAGATTGGTTGGTTGGTTAGTTGGATGGTTTATTGATTGGTTGGTTGGTTGGTTTTGTTTTGGTGGTTGGTTGATTCAATTTGATTGATTGATTAATTGGTTGGTTGATTGGTTTTGTTTTAGTGGTTGCTTGGTTGGTTTAATGAGATTGGTTGGTTGATTGATTGGTTTTGTTTTGGTGGTTGGTTGGTTGGTTTAATTTCATTTATTGACTGGTTGGTTGGTTTTGTCTTGGTGGTTGGTTTAATTAGTTTGATTGATTAATTAAATCATTGATTGATTGGTTTTGGTCATTAGTTGGTTCAATTTTATTTGATTGGTTTTGGTGGTTGGTTGGTTCAATTTGATTAATTGATTTGGTTAATTGGTTGATTTTGTTTTGGTGTTTAGTTGGTTTAAATTGATTTGTTGGTTGGTTTATTGATTGGTTGTTTTTGTTTTGGTGGTTAGTTTAATTTGATTTATTGATTGATTGATTGATTGATTAATTGATTGATTGATTGATTGATTGATTGATTGATTGATTGATTGATTGATTGATTGATTGATTGATATCAATAGTTTGCTTTGATGGTTGATTGGTTGGCTGGCTGGTTAGTTCAATTTGATTGGTTGGTTGGATGGTATATTGATTGGTTAGTTTTGTTTTGATTGATTTATTTGATTGTTTGATTGATTGATTGAATGATTGATTGATTGATTGATTGATTGATTGATTGATTGATTGATTGATTGATTGATTGATTGATTGATTGATTGATTGATTGATTGATTGATTGATTGATTGATTTGGTTAATTGGTTGGTATTGTTTTGGTGGTTGGTTGGTTGGTTTAAATTGATTGGTTGGTCGGTTTATTGATTGATTGTTTTTTTTTGTTTTGGTGGTTGGTTTAATTTGATTGATTGATTGATTAAATGATTATTTTTGCTTTGATGGTTGGTTAGTTGGTTGGTTGGTTGATTGATTGATTCACTCATTCATTTATCCATTCATTCATTGATTTATTCATAATTTATGCATTCATTCATTGGTGCCTCAGCCTACATTTTTGCAAAAAAACTAAAGCTACATGTTTCAATCTACGTTTCAGATCACAAACCTACTAAAGGATGCTGTCTACATTGCAAATCTAAAAATTACTAAATGTAAGAATGTGGGGTTGGGCGCACAGATCAAACCACTAAACTAAACCTTTTTCTAAACTAGTGATGGGTCATTCTTGAACCATATGTTCATTTTAAACAAATCTTTTATGTGATTCAAAAAACGATTGAACAAGTCCTCTCAGGGAGTGATTCGTTCATTCACACATTTGTGCTGGTTGGGTAGAAGATAAGTTATTTTTTTCAATTATTCAATAGGGGTTGAGTCATTTGTTCATCATGTGAAAGAAACAAGCCAATCATATGCAGTCAGAGCCAGAAAAAAAAATTGATTCGTTCATTTCTTGAGTCTTTGGTTTCAGTCATTCATTCATCACTTTAAAGACAGAAGCTGATCACGTGAAGTCAGAGCCAGAAAAAGATTTGATCCGTTTATTTCTTGAGTCTTTGGTTTTGAGACATCTCTCTCTTTACATGTTCTCACGTAATGAACGAACAACTCAAAAACTTGAAAACTTAAAGGGTGAACTAATCATGGATCTTGTCTTCAATTCAGACTGTGTGCATTGGGGAAGTGTATATGGGACTGTCTGTGTCACGTGAACGAACTACTTAATTTGAAGACATGTCAGAAGAGGTGAGCGAAGCTAATCATATACAAAAGACACAGGTAAAAAAATAAATTATTATTTTCCCTTTCTATATAGCATTCTAGTTATCACTTCTTTGTAGTGTGATCAATTGGGCTAGTTGTAGATGCCATTGGAAGCAACTTGTTTTTTGGCGAATAACCTCAATGAACGAAATGACTCGAGAAAAAAAAGCTGCAGAATATGTAATCCTTTATTTATTTATTTATTTATTTATTTATTTATTTTTTATATTAAGTCTCTATAAATTTCATTAGTGTGAAAAGGAACAAACGTTGTTGTTATTCTAATACTCCATAGTGTTCATTTTACCTAGAATCTGCAGTCAAACACGTTTAAGTATATATTTGTGCTTTTACAGCAATTTAGGCTGAAGCACAGATTTCCAATGAGCCTGTGTTATATTATGTACACGTTTCAGTGCTTTACAAATAATAATTTGATTTGATGCAGTGTTTAGCTGAAAGACATTTAGAGTTGTTGTCAAAATTGTGCGAAACAATGATTTGCAATATCATTGAACACATCAGTTATTGTAGATTGGGTTTTAAACAAAATAAGAAACATTTGCAGCATGTGCCAATGTATTTCCCCTATTTTTAAACACAGGCTCATTCTGAAAATGTAGTGCCGCAATTATTTCTGGAGACCGCAAATTATGTTGCCGGCTGCATTTAATTTTTTTAAATAAACACTACGGGGCGGTATGATGCCGTTCCTTTTGGCGCTTACCGGCTGACCGCTAACCTCCGTGTGGAGGGCTTTCCCGCTGCAACCAGTTTGCCCAGTTAGCTCATCGTGTATGTCGGCGAACTTGAGATGCAGAGAGGGGTTGACCATGAAAATCAGGCGCGACAAAAACAAAATCCAAATCTTTTTCTGGACCGTCGGCTGAGTTTAGGGAAGTAAACGGGCGGATGGGTCAATTGGTAAAATTGGTTGGGTTTAGGGAAGAAGGAGAATGGGTCAGTCGATTTGCCCAGTTAATCATTCAGTCAATCAGTCGGTTGACAGCGGCCTATGGTGGGTTTACGCAAGAAAGGCACGGGAGGAAACAGCACTCGCGAGAGACAACTGAGATGCAAAGAAGCGTCACAGCGGCCTCTCGCGGATTCGCAAAAACAATAACTGCAAAAATACGTGTCTCCCGGGAGGTAATTCACAGTCTCCAGAAAAGTCCACAGGACTTTGTTTTCTAAATGAGCCTGGGTTGCCATTTTTAGTTACATTGCAGCTGTAAATTCCTTACTTTTTTTGCAAATTAATAAAAAATATGGATTTAGTAGTGGTAGTAATTATTTTTGCATAAATGAATAAATGCATAAATGCATTAAAAGCATTAAAAGCATAAATGAATACACAACTTTTGAAAATTAATAGTTTATCCATTTTTCAGTAAATATTAACAATATATTTCAGTGTATTCAAACAAACTAGTTTTATTAAAAAGTTAGTAATTAAAATAAGACTGTGGTTTAAAAATAGAAAGATAATACATTTAAATTCTAATGTGGTACAAAACAAACTACAGAATTTCAACAAAATGTATTTTTTATGTTTCTCTCAATTTTTCTTGTTTATAAAATTTTTTGTAATATTTTTTTCCCTAACAAATTCATGGGTGTGCGCTGATTTTTGCATAATGAGCTTAAATTTCTTTAGTTTTTATTTATTTCAATTGTTTAAATTAGATTAAGTTTCCTTACTGGGTTGGGGCTGTAAGGGCATCCACTGCATAAAATATATGCCAGATTAGTTGGCATTTCATTCCGCTGTGGCAACCCCTGATAAATTATTTCCTCTTAAAACCAGTAGTTTTTCAAGCATACTGTAAAAACGTAGTCAAAATCAGTGGATATTCACCTTATTCTCCGCCGACGAGCGGGCGCTGCCATTTGAATCTTTTTGGCTTGAGACTTCCGGTCTCATTCACTTCTGTTCATTTTTTGACGTTAAAAACTGCTCATTACGCTGCTTGATGTTGCAATTTGATATTTTCTTATTATATTATTCTACTTGGTCTGTATAGTCATGCAAACATTTGTTTGTAGAGCAAGTAGTTTGACCGTTTTCTGCCGTTTATTATTCCTAGTCATTTCTTCCATAGGCGACTAAATCGGAAGTTCTAAGACAATCGCGAAAACAGGCGCACTTCCGCATTTTAGAATAAGGTCAATACACTACATGCTGATTTTAGCCAGAGCCTTTTCCTTACACCCAGTATCCAAATGAATTGTGATTATGATAATTAGTGTCAGGCCTACCCGAGTCCTCTAATCTGATCTTTTTGCAGGGGTTTTCGTCCGAGTCTTCATCTGACATCTCCATTTCCTCTTCTCTCCGTATTCCCATGATCTCTTCACTGTGAGCATTTCTCAGCTCCTAATGAAGCACAATACAGAAATCAAACAGACACACACACGCATCTCATTACTGGCTTCTGTCCGAGGCCTTGAATGATTAAAGATTACATTTTGCACACATTAACATTTCCTCAGCTCTAAATAATTCTACAAGGACACACTTTTATTGTTCCATACGCTGTGTAAATGTGGCAGTAACATGACAATCACACATACTGATGAACATTTTTTTTCAGCATTTGTACTCTAAATTAACCTGGAAACTTTTGACAGGATGAAAAAAAAAACAGGGAATGATTTGGCAAGCACATGTGATTTATTCTTTGACTTAAAAATACAACCCAGAGGGAAAACCGGGGCTCTGCCATCTCAGTGCCATTTGAAAGTTCATTTGTCTAGGTCTGAAAATGGAGCGTAAAAATCACATTACACAAACTTCCAAGCCCACTGATCCTCTGATAGCCATTATAGGGATCAGCACAAAGGACGTTTAATGCCACCACTGTGAAATCTTGCAGATCTGACTCTATAAAAGGGAGTACATTTGAGCTTTACTCTATCAGTGATTGAATAAGTTTTATTCTAGCACTGCGCCGACTGATCTTTCATCGAATTCTTGAAAGCTGTAGTATCAGAGGAATACAAGTGGAGTTCTGGATTGTTGCTGATATTAAATTTCTCTCCAATTCACACAATATCACTTTACAGGCTTCCCACACCTTTTGACCACTGAATTTTCATTACTTTTTCAATGGCGTTTCCAGTCATTTGAGAAAAACCTGATAAGGTTTTTAAAATTCCTTTCTTTCACAAAGAGCAATTTCCTGCCAAAACACAAGGGAAACTAAGGCTAGTTGTCACACTGGGACACTTTTACAAGGTCAAGGAACAATAAGCAGTCCAAAACGTTTTCATTTTCCAGTAGTGATTTTGTGCTTTGGTTTAAAATACCAAGGTTATATTTATACAACAGTATAAGGATATATATTTATAAGAGATGTGAGTTCCAGTCCATCAGTATCTGTTCATCTCTTACTAAACAAAAACGACAGACAACAAATTTGCAATGGACACTTATTCTGGAATCTACCAGTGGCTTTGATGTATGTTTCTATAGTGGTTAAACATAAAAAAGACTTGTTTTGGATATATCTAATGGCAATATGGTCTCAATCATGAATTATTTGTTCTAGAGCAAAGTCTTTTAAAGATTCCACCATTTCATGGTCACAAAAATGGTTAAGACTTTTATATTAGAAGAGATTAAAACCAGCATTGTCATGTGATATACACAATAATTGTCAAGCTAAATTATTAGGTTGAGATTGAGCCTGAAATGAGTGAATATAGGAATAAAAGGAATCGATCATACGCATAACACAGCAGTGCCACAGTTTTTCTTTTTATATAGTTGTAATTTAGTGTTTGGTTTGGTATGGCATTTTGTGAGGTTAATACTGGAGAATTCCCAGATGCAGCAAAGTAATATAGCCAGCAATATAGATAATTAACCTTGAACAAAAACAAAACAAGTTTCTTTGTTTTGACATCTGTAAGACATTAAAATTCTCTATATAATGTAATGGAAAATGTAAACTTGCACCACTACTAGTTCTAAAGTAGTGATATTTTTGTTTCATATAATAGATGTTCAGATCTTCAACTGTATGATACTATAATGTCAACATGAACCAAATCTGAAGCTGCATTTTCACTGCACACGGAATTCGAACACGACTGTTGGAATTTCGCCCCCTTGTGGCAGTCGCACAGAATTTTCAGTTTTGCCGCGCACCATGAGAGAAAATTCTCGTGGATTCCATTTGCCCATTACATTTAAATCATGGTGTTTAATATATTTTGCGTATCTACAGTTTTTTTTTTTGTCTTTTGAATCTATTATTTGTTATCAGGTATAATATTTTGGCAGTATTATTTTTTGTTACGTTTTATATAATTGTCTTATTAATTGATTAATTTTTTTTTTTTTTACCCTGCTGCACTCTGTCTTTGTTTACTAATCTGCTTATCTTTATTACCTATTGTATACATCTTGTACTTTTATATCTATTGTAGTAGTTTATTAAATCTGATAATCAAAGACAGGTCTTTGTATGATAACCCACTTCATTTCATATGTAAATTTGTTTACATTTTCTTAAATCAAAAATATGAATGTATCATATTAATTATAAGGCCATGCTTTATATAAATAATTAATTTTATTGCTTATGTACTGTTTTTGTGCATTTCAAACAAATTACCGATTTTTTTTTTAATTAAAAAAATAACGAAAAAACTACTATTTGTTGCTTAGACAACACTGGAATACATCACATCTGGTCAGCTGGTCACATACGGTCTTGTCGCCAGAGTTAAAATATTTTAACTGATTTGCAGCTCAAATTGGATCTGAATTATCTGCATACGAAGATGATCGGAATTTCACACAGCTCCTAAACTACTCTCTTTTGGAAATGAATCACATCCAGTCTGTCGCTTGTTGTTTGTCAATGGAATGGCGGCTTGAGAATTATGGTTGCTCTGAAGAAAAAATGATCCCTAATAAAGTGACTTAAAGAGACTAAAGAATAAAGAGACGCCTTTCCACTGTACACGATATTCAGACACTACTGTTGGAATACGCCCCATTGTGCCAGCCGCACAGAATTTCAGTTTTGTCCCGCACCATGGGAGAGAAACTGGATTCTCGCTGTGTCCGAAATAAAGAAGTGCAAATGCAAGACTCTTTATTCTCCATCCGTTTACCATGGTTGAATGAATGAATACTAGAAACTCAAAGACCACAAAAAATTTGGAGGAAATGTGGAGACATTAAAATATATATTTTTATTACTCATTTCTAAATAGAAATGTTTTTATTTATAATATAGACTTTTTTCTGATCAAAAAGTAACAGAAAAAAAAAGTATTTCTCATCTCGTGCACATGAACCTGCTTAGGAGCATTGAAATACATCACATCCGGTCGACCGGTCTCATATGGGCATAGATATATACACTAGATATCGCATACAGACCCCGAGCATGCGTCAATAGAGCTGGAACATTTGTACAGTGCTCACATTACAAAATTCATTCAACCACACTAATCAAAACTCAAGCCAATGTGAAGATGCTGGACTTTGGCACTCTTCACGGTTGAGTAACGAGCAAACAAAGAAAACAAAGCTCAAAGGCAGAACATTTCATAGGTAAGATTTATTTGATACTTTTTGTATGTTACAAACATTTGTGCTAAAAAGTATTGATGATAATAAAGTCTCTTACTGCACTGACCATAAAGCAAAGTAGCACTATCTGGCACTAAATACTAGTCTTTTGTTAGTTTTGTTAAATAAAATAAGTAAACAATGTAAATGAAATATGACAACAATATACTGCGGTGCTAGAAACTTATATTATTGTCAGCTAAGTGAATGAGTCGATGATAACGGGGATTAGAATGAGAAGTGAAAGCAGGCGTGTGTTTTAATACATGCATTAACTCAAATTTAACAGGGAGGGAGGATAATACATTTCCATGCACACTAAAAACTTTGTCGGCAACGCCTGTGCGATCACTTATCCACTGATATAGAAAAGTGATGTAAAATGATAATTTTCATAGCTTGAAAAAATTTTTCCATACTGACCACGATCATAGATGTATGCATAAATGTTTACATATCTTGGGCTCTGGATGGCCAGTCCCACATTCATTTCAAGGGTGCTCTACCCTGTACTAAAATGGCAGCTCTATTGATGCATTCCTTCCAATAGATAACAACAGCATGGGCGACATCTAATGTAAATATCTATGGCATACAGTCGCAGGAGTTCAAATATTTTAACAGATCCACAGCTTAAATCAGATTTGAAATTACTGCCTAAGGAGATGACCGGAACTCTCTGCAGCTCCTGGACTACTCTCCATTGCAAATGAATGACTTCCGGTCAGTCACTTGTCATTTGTCATCTGCAGTGGAAAGGCGGCTGGAGAATTATGGTTGCTCTGAAGAAGAAAAAACTGTCCCTAATAAAGTGGCCTGTGTTTGTAAATAAAAATTTTAGATAATTTTGATAAATAATTTTGATCCAAATGTATATTTACTAGCATATCAACTACATAATCTGCCCCTAGTTTTAAATCTAAACTATATACTGTATATAAAGCATGTTGCATCATGTCTTAATATCTATATGTTTCCAAAAGTTTCCAATAAATTAAGTTCAGGAAAACCTCAAAGCACTATATTAAACTTAAAATAAAACAAATCTTCACAGGGGTGGCATCTTTAAAGGCTTCCACTTCTCACAGCACCAAAGTCTGCGCCCAACGCTGATGTCTTACCTCTTAGCGACTGTGAACTGAAATGGAATCCTTTCATAGACTTGACTTAAAGCAATTAATCAATACAGTCAGTGTATTTCTAGGATTAGGTTTCGGTCCTCACATCACTGCTCATGATATACAGCCATGGAAAAATTCAGATGGCTGAAGGAAAGACTGCAGCTGGAATCTATCACCACTGAGGGATTTTTCTTTTTCTTTTTTTTATTTCAAGGTTCATTAAGTATTCCGTTTGCGCTAACATGAATTTTGCATATTGGTGATGTTCCATTTTATGAATATAGATATTCCATAATGCAAATTCAGGTGGTTAATGTTGGAAAGATTCACATTGTAAGTTAGCTCACACCTCCGCTTTCCTTCCTCGTAGAGACCTAATTCAAATGGGATGAGTTATTAACAATTAATTTAGGCTAATCACTGATGAGCATCGTTATAATCCTGCCAGTATCTGTTGCCATGGCAGCAATGGAGGTTCTGTCTAGGTGGCAATTTCAAGGAGAGTTCTGATGCACGAATAAGGAGCAGAGTCTAGAAACGTGCATGTATTTGCTATGTGAGGGCCCTGTATAAAGCCTGTATAATGAAAAGCCACAAGATACACTGCCATATAAACAGCTGCTGTGTCAGTGTACCATGTAGAAAAGGGGTCTCAAACTACTATTGATGTCCACTAGTCAGGTGGAGTTGAACAAGAAGTTGAACAATCACATCAAAAGTCTTTTATTATCGTAAATGGTAAATATTTTGCCTGTCAAATACATTATAGTGCCCCTATCCAAGGTCAAAAACTACTTTTCAGCTCATTATTTAAAAGCTCCAAGATGGCCAGTTTGATAATGTTTTTCTAAACCATTCCTTTATGTTAGCATACTCTGCTCTGATTGGTCAAATGGTCAAGTCTGTTTTGATTGGTCTATTGTTAACAGCACATATATAGATGCATATATACAGTTGAATATAATAAATTATATGAATATGATATATACAGTTGAATATGAATTTAATATATACGGTTGAATTTAGAATTATTAGCCTCCCTTTGAATTTTTTTTTCTTTTGTGAAGAATTTCCAAATGGTTTAACAGAGTGAGGACATTTTCACAATTTCATATGTCTGATAGTATCTATTAATTTTATTTTGTTTTTGAGAAAGTTTGGCAAGAATATATATATATATATATATATATATATATATATATATATATATATGTTTTTAATTTTTAACCAATTTAAGGAAAAAATTATTAGCCCCTTTAAGCTATATTTATTTCGATAGTCTACAGAACTAACTATCATCAATAACATATATATATATATATATATATATATATATATATATTTATATATATATATACAGTTTTGTCAGGCTCTCGAATTTGATTGGCTGATAGTCGTGAGATATTAAAGCAATATCAGCACTCGTACAGCCTCTTTACCCTTGTGTATTACTCCGTTCACACTAGGACTAAAGAGGGACTAAACAGCTCACTACGGTTTGACAAATTTTGTTTTTGAGGCTTTTTAGGTGAGAATGTAGTTGTTTAGATTGCAACTATGCAGTTTAATTATAAGGATAGTGCCTAATTTAAATAATTAAATTTCGGAGATTCAGCACATTGGCGGCCATTAGCCTGTCCTACTGAAAAGATCAAAGACAGTTGACAATCAGCCACAAGATGGTGACAGCAATCGCATAAATGCGATATGCGCATAAATCCTAAATGGCACACTAATGTTTTTTTACTAGGCGGAAATTCAAACCGTTTCCCTAATGACGTTTGACGGTTGCCAAATTAGTGAAATAAATAAAGTTATCCAACACGTGCGCCTGATAGCACCGCCCCTTCCGCTACATGAGCAAACCTGTGATTGTTGAGTGCATGAAGTGTCCATCATTCCACACTTCATTTTACCGGCTGAATGAGTGCATCATCCGGGTAATTAAAGTGCACTTATTATTTTTAGAGTTTTTAGTGTGAACATACTTACACTATTTATACTACAAAATGGAGTAGAATAGTGCATAAGTATGCAATTTGGGACGCAGCTAATCTTTCTCTTTTGTATGTTGTAGTGATGTATTTATATCATAGTAATCTGGTAGTGTTTGTTTTGCTTTGGCTTTTTTGTGGTTAATTGTTGCGATATCACGACTGCAACAGAGAAATACTGGAAAATCTTTGTAGACTGATGGCATTTCATGCCATTCAGCCTAATAATCTTAAAATGTAGGCAAAATCACTCAATCATTCCAATAGCTCTAAAGTGACGTTTGTGAAGTAGCAACAGTTTCTGCTGTTCTTAAGGTCAGCTGCAGATGTGAATGAATGGCAGAAGAAAGTACTGTAGTTTCTTGAACAAAAGGATTTTTAAGTAGCAGTGCAGTATGGCTGTACAGTGGCGCAGTGGGTAGTGCTATTGCCTCACAGCAAGAAGGTCGCTGGCTCGATCCTCGTCTCAGTTGGTGTTTCTGTGTGGAGTTTGCATGTTCTCCCTGCATTTGCGTGGGTTTCCTCCGGGTGCTCTGGTTTCCCCCACAATCCAAAGACATGCGGTACAGGTGAATTAGTAGGCTAAATTGTCTATAGTGTATGAATGTGTGTGTTTGTGGACGTTTTCCTGAGATGGGTTGAAGCTGGAAGGGCATCCACTGCGTAAAAACTTGCTGGATAAGTTGACGGTTCATTCCACAGTGGCGACCCCAGATTAAAAAAGGGACTAAGCCAACAAGAATGAATATATATATATATATATATATATATATATATATATATATATATATATATATATATATATATATATATATTTTTTTTTTTTTTTTTTTTTTTTTTTTTTAATAAATTGTCGTACCATTAAGTGGTGGAAAATATGTTGCTCTCTTTATTTCAGATGTTGCCATGGTGACTCGTAATATCTGCGCTTTCGTTGATAATGCCTTTTTATACTCACGGTGTGTACGCTTAACTCTGAATGGTCTACACAAAGTTGATTGACCTAACTCAGATCAGCTATTCTGAAATTGAAAACATTTAATCTCTCGGTAAGTCAACTCAGAGTTCAAGTTTAGACTCCGAGTTGGTTGAACCTCCTTACTGAAACAGACCCCAGGACGTTTCTCAGTGGCATGTTTAGATCAGCCAATCATACATTTTTCTGTTGGGCTCATGAATGCAAAGGCAATATGTGTTTAGTTATCACTGAATCTGCCCAAGATTTCTTAAGCATTTGTCTTTACAATTAATACTTCTTTTCAACATAATGTTGACAAAACAACTTATAGGTTTCAATTTTATTTTTAAGTAGGCTTTCTTTTCAGTGGGCAGCCAATAAAAATCATAGGTGGAATTATTATGCAATTTTGCTATGAATCTACACAGCCCAGGTGCAGATATGAAACATGAAAAATTACAATTAAATAACATGAAAAATTACATGTAATACTTGTTTAAACTACTTATTTAAAACGAGCTGAAACGACACAAGTCTTGAGTTTTGTTTTGGGACAACTTAATTGTTTGACGTTCAATCTACTTAAATTTGTAAAAACTGAGCTAACTTACTGGAATTCCAGTTTCCAATTGTTTTAAAGTGTTTTGACTTACTTTTAGGACACAGGGAACTTATTTATTGTGTACTTTGATATATACACCTTTTACATTCACAAATAGCTACATTACACACTGAAATAATGTATATTTTTTGAAAAAAGCATAATAAGGGCACCTGAAGCCCAAACTAACACAGAAAACACAAATTTTTCAATGGCATACAGTAGTTTGAAACCCCTGATGTACTGTGGAGTGAGCATGACAAAAGTGGAGAAGAAATACCAACCTCACACTGTTTTCGCCAAATGTCTATGTTCTTGCGCTGCGCTTTTGAGAAATGGTCCCATGCCTTTTGCCTGGTGGCAGCGGTGAACACAGCCGTAATCTGCTCAACTTTGGTGGGTAAGGAAGTCAGACAAGACAAGCCATTTATGTAGAGCTCAGCATCAGCGCCAGCTAGAATCAGACGCATCAGGAGCCCCTCAAACCTTCTCCGAGAGGCCCCTCATAGTGTCTGTTGTACTTACATCTCATTAGCTGCTGTTTCAGTTCCTTAGGACTGAGGAAGGCAACAGTCTACAACGAGGGATCTGGTGGTTGTACAAATAAAGTACTGAGTGTTTGATGTCAAACATTTGTTGAGGATTTAGCTCAAAATGTGCACTTCTTTAGTTTTGGAAATTAGATTTGCCTTAGGATTGTTGGATTGCACTGATTGTAAACTGTTGCCTGCTATTTATTCATTTAGCAAACAATCATCTTCTTTACTATAAGTGGCATAATTATCAAATACATTATAATCATGCACACATGGTGTTGAAAATATCTAACTTCTGTCTGGTGGCCAATTTTGAACTCACGTTATCATTCAAGCAAATTACACTTTTTGTTTGAATTAACACATTCTCACACTCGACCCGTCAGATATTGATATATATCAGTCAGGACACCTTCTCGTCCCACTTTAAGGTTTGGGGTACCATTCTGTTAATGTTTTAAAATTCACAGATTCCTTTGTTGCTTTAAATGAAAGAGCTTCGTTGTCGATATGCTGGCATGAAATGAATCTGCAATTTTATTGCGATAATTAAAAGCCATTTTGTGTTACATTTTTGACACTTTTGGGGTGTGAGATCTTCAGTAAACAGTCAAATCTATTTAATTTACATTACAAACATGTTTATAAGCACATAAACCAGCTCCTAGCACTAGAGTGAACCATTTGTCAATATAAAACACCGAATATGCAGGCAGATGCAACTACAGTTGCAATTTATAAAACAAAATATAAATATTATGAAGTGTCAATTTATAAGAGCAAATTTATTTCTTGCAAATGATGAAATTACCATCTCTGTCACAAAGTCAAATACTGCAGCTAGGAAAATTGTCTTACATCAGCTTTAGTTCTCAAATGCTATTGGCTCTCTCAATGTTTTGTGACCGATTGTGTCAAATGACCCACAAATAAATCACGTCTCACTAATATGCTTTTTTTAAATCAGTGGATATCGGATAGCTGGCTCATTTTCAACTATTAAAACATTGTAAATTACATCACATAAAGACATCACATTACTTCAGGGGGCTTGGATTGCAACATGACTTGTTTGCCTGCAATAGGCACTATATATAGGCACTATTTGCCTGCTGTTTATTTATGTTGTTCAGAAGTGGGTAGATGGGGGTTTCGGTCCTCCAAAATAATTCTGCATGTTAAAATACATAATAAGTCTGCATGTTTCTGTCACGACAACTTTCTGAGCGATTTAGTATGGTAATATATATGTATATGGCAATGTTGATGTGTTTGGTCTTGGTAAAATAGATATGCTGCTGCTGCTGCTTTATATATTATGGCAGAGCATGTACTGAGACTAATACACTTCTGCTGCAAATATACAGTCGAAGTCAGAATTATTAGCCCCCCTGCATTATTAGACCCCCTGTTTATTTTTTCCCCAATTTTTGTTTAACAGAGAAAATATTTTTTCAACCCATTTCTAAACCTATAGTTTTAATAACTCATTTCTAATAACTGATTTATTTTATCTTTGACATGATTACATTTAATCATATTTGACTAGATATTTTTCAAGACACTTCTATCCACCTTAAAGTGACATTTAAAGGCTTAACTAGGTTAATTAGGTTAACTGGGCAGGTTATAGTAATTAGGCAAGTTATTGTATAACGATAGTTTGTTCTGTAGACTATCAAAAATACAGTTTAAAGGGGCTAATAATTTTGTCCTTAAAATTGTGTTAAGAAAAAATAAATACAGATTTTATTCCAACCGAAATAAAACAAATAAGATTTTCTCCAAAAGAAAAAATATTATCAGACATACTGTAAAAGTTTCCTTGGCCTGTTAAACATAATATTTATATTTATAAAATATTTAAAAAAGAAAAAAAAAATCAAAGGGGGCTAATAGTTCTGACTTCAACTGTGTATGTATGTATATATATATATATATATATAAAACCCTTGTTGCAGACCTAAACATAGGTGGAGCTGGGGTGGTGGAGGGTCTCAGAAAAATGCAACGCAACATTACCGAGTAGAGCAACATGATCGTTTAAAATGTTGAGGAACAAGCTCAAAGGCTGTTGAGATGACAGCAACCAATCTCCTGTGTCATATAGTTAATGATTTAGGAGCAGATTAGCTGACCTATCAGCATACATGCAAATCGTTTAATGTGATTCATATTATGAATGACCAAAAGCATTGAGCGATCTGGAAAGTCATAAAATGATTCACCTGGGGTACCCAGAGCATCACAAAGCAATGAGAAGGTGTCCAGAACAAGCTCAATATGTGACAAGTCGAGAATGAGGATGTAGTCTCACCTGTCAAGGCCACAAAAAAAGATGAGTGAATCTGACGTTGGCCTACCTTTTAGTTAAGTTGAACATCTCCACATCTGCTCTATGGTCAGAGTGCTTCCACTGAGACTGTACTTACCCAGGGCTCTTCTATGGGCTTTGGTTATAGTCTCAATGCTGTCTGAGCATTCCTTACATCTTTAGTGTACATTAAGATTATGTGTATCTGCAGTGAATTGTGTGAAGGAGACACTTTGGCTTTGTTCCAAGACTACCGAGCTGCCTCGTTGTCTATTAATGTCTACTGAAAGCTGCTGCCTTCTAAACAGCACTTATAGTCAATTTAAACCTTTACATGCGAGAGGAGATTACACTCAATTAACATTAGCCTTTTGCTAAGCTAACAGCAACATAAAAATGATACCAGTTGTTGTGCATTACATTTCTGATTCTCAATAACTGGCATTCACCAACATCCATGTCAATGCGGTAAACTATTTTAAAAACACAACATGATATCTCTGATTTGCTTTGTACAGTAGTTTGTAGAATTACAACTACCACCATTTTGAGCATTTATCAATAGTATTGATATCACCTCATTGGTAATTACCGCACTATTGTTGACCTGTTTGTTGTATACATTGTACATTGAAATGTAATTTTAATAAGAGAGATCATATACAGGTAATATGCTAATTTGTGACTTTGGACCATGAGACATCATAACATCTTATGTTGGACAAGTATAGTCAAAAATAGATTCAAAATAATAGATTTTTCTTTTATTATCAAACTCATAGAATATTAGAATTTTAAGTAAAGATTATCTACCATGAGGATATTTTGTAAGTTTGCTTCTGTAAATATATTAAAACAAGTAATCGCTAAAAGTAGTATTGCTAAAAATCTGGACAACTTTAAATGTGATTTTCAAAATATTTAGAATTATTTAGTTTTGACATCAAATTCCAAATTTTAAATTGTAAAAAATATTTATAGATCAATTCAGAATTATTAGCCCTTCTGAATTATTAGCCCCCTTTTATATTCTCCCACAATTTCTGTTTAACAGAAAAACAGAAAGAAGATTTTTTTAACACATTTTAAAACGCATTTTAATACCTCATTTCTAAAAAAAACTTATTTCTTTTATCTTTGCCATGATGGCAGTACATAACATTTTACTAGATATTTTTCAAGATGCTAGTATTCAGCTAAAAGTGTAATTTAAAAGCTTAAAGGGGTGGTCCAAAGTGTATTTTTAAGGCTTGATTGTGTTTATTGGGTGCTAAGCAGTATGTACTCATGATTCATTCGTAAAAACAATTAAACAAAAACATAATAATTTTTTTTCATATATCTTACTTCAATTATATAAAGCTACTCAGCTAACATGAAAATGACTGTCATGTTTCCTAGTTCCTCTAAAAGGCTCGCCCTGAGCTAGCATAATGTGCTGTGATTCGCAGATCAGCTCCAAGTCACCAGGAAATCTAGCATGCAATTTGCCGTTGTGTTAATACTGTCAGTCAGTGTATCCATATCAGTTTGAGTCTGAATCGGACAGAAATTGGGCTGTGCGGGGTGTATGCACATAACCTGAAGGGTTTCTGACATCATTAACCTGGATGTATTATTTTTTTTATAGTCCCCAAACTTTGTTCACTGCAGGCTTTGCTAAGCTACAGTAACTCTGTAAAAGCCAATGTCTCCCTTTGCATTGAACTTTGAGCGTCTAATTCAGAGATGCTATTTAAGTTCACACAGCTTCATTACACATCAACTGGAGTTTAAAATTTGATATCGTAGTGGACCACCCCTTTAACTAGGTTAATTAACTAGACAGGTTAGGGTTATGGTTTGTTCTGTAGACTTTTGAAAAACAATTTGCTTAAGGAAGCTAATAATTTTGACCTTAAAATGTTTTTAAAAAATAAAACAGCTTTTATTCCAGCCAAAATTAAACAAATACAACGTTCTCCAGAAGAAACAAATATTATAGGAAACACTGTGAGAAACTCCTTGCTATGTTAAACATCATTTGGGAAATATTTTAAAAAGGACACATTTAAAGAAAGGCGAATCATTTTGACTTCAACTGTATATCGCTGCCAAATACTATATTTATTTATTCAGCTTTTAGATCATATACTAGGCTTAGATCATAGAAGCTCAGGGGCCCCCAGGGGTACTATTAGGAGGCCACCAGATGCCCAAACACCCCTTTATCCCCCGGGTCTTCACTTTCATTCATAAAGCCCTACATGGTAATATATGCTGTTTGTTCAAACTACTTATTCAAAATAAGATAAAACAACACAATTCTTGAGTTTTTTTGGGGGAAATGTATAATTGTTACTGTTCAATTCACTTAAATTTGTAAAAAAAAAAAAAAAAAAGAAGTTAATCTAATTCCTTAATGTTTTCTGAACAGAAATTGATTGTGTGGAACGCAACATTTTTCACAGTGTATAAAATGGTTCCCTGGAGAACCAAGACTTCTTAAATTACGTTTGTCTTAGGTTTTATGCAAATTTTAAGACTGTATGAATATCTTGGAGTTTCCATCATATTTTATATGATAAAATGTGTATAAAACATGGATGGAAACCATGTGGTTGATCACCATGAATGTAAATTCTGCATAGTGGAAGTTGCATGGATTCTTTTTTGGAATGACTAAATTTTGAAAACAAAATTTTCAACCAATTATAGAATTGACACAACAATCATTTCTTTCAGTTTTGGGGTGGTTTTTATAATGCATAAAAAGGTCACATGTGATGCTTTTAAATTGCTATGTACATCGGCAACTTGCTAGGTTTTGGAACAGAGCCTGTGTCTTGCTAGTTACATTTTAGGTCATGTAGTGTAGTGTAGTTCTAGACAAACACAAATACACTCCTACTGGGACTACAGTTATATCAAGATAAGCGAGTAAAGTCCAACAATTAGATCAGAGACTGAGCCCACTTAAGGATGGCTATATCATCTCGCTCGGCACAAAGGATGTGGCGTCGTCATAGCAACACAGGATGAGAATCTGATAGTAGGCAATTGGTAGAGAAACAGTAAAGGCTGGAAGGTTTCTTACATTGTGTGAGGATGGCAAGCAGGGAATTCTTAAAGTGTTCTTTGGCCAGCTCCATCTCCTCTTCGTGCTGCGCTTTCTCACTCATTAGGCGCCGCACGTGGCTGTTGGCCGACTGGATCATGGAGTAGAAATGATTCGCTGAGCGCCGGTTCACCTCGCCTCTGTCGATCCACGTGAAGAGCACTGCCGTTGCCTCGCTGAACTTGTTGTCATCTAAAAAATAAGGAAAACTGTAACATTGTTTTCAAAGCATTGCTGGTATACTCTTAGTATACTTTGTTGGTTAGACACAACCAATGTGTCAACATTGTGCTTCACATTGGGTTTTATGTTTATTTACAGTTGTGTATTGCATTATGGGAGTTTATCTCTGCTCTGTACAGTTTTGATGTCAAATATTCAAAACTGCAGATTAACAAAGTGACTTTTATTGGGATTTTAGTAGTTTGATACAAGATATTGTTTAAGAAATAATATAGGGAGAATTAACTCTCAGACTCAACTTTATTATCTTACTTAGAGAAACTAAAATGGCAGCAAGGTGCCATGACACAGGTGAAGTTTCATGTACATGTTACTAAAGTATTACAACAAAACATACAATAGGGGAGCGCGGGGCGCAAAGTAACGATGGCTTAAATGTAACAGAGTTTTAAGGTATTTGCTCAGGGTTAACCATGGCATGCTTCCGAGGTTTTCACCACAGTGTCGGCAAATGTCTTCCGGCTAGTTATTGAAACATTTTGCAGAAATTTGGATGAGAAACACAGAAGAAACCATATTTTACAGCATAAGAGTATTTAATATTATACTCAATATTATTATTACTATTATTTTTTTAAATTCTGTTAGAGTATGTTAGTAAAATCTTATATTATTGTGATTACCGTCTTCTAGGCTAAAAGATGGAACCATTTTGAAATATGTAAGAAACACACAGTGACTGCTAACCGGTTTTGAGGAAAATACGAAACACAGCGGGGTTAGTTGTAACAGGGTGTTACAATTAAGCCACACACTGTTAGACACCAATTAAACAAACAAAATAATTTTTTTGAAATTTGATTGTAATGTTGGTAACTTTTTAAATAAAAATGTTTTTTTTAATAGAAAATATATATATTGCTAATAATTCATTAAATGCTTCGTATAATAATGGATAATAATGCAAATAGATTCAAATCTGTGTATCCAATAAACAAATAAATACATAAACATATGTGCTATGTAGAATAAAAAAAGAAATGAGCCATTAAATATAGCTATTATTTAAAGTAAACTGAATTTAAATTATTTGTGTGTAATCTGCCTTTAATGCATGTATTACAACTAACCCCCTGTCTGTTGTCCACTTGCCCTGCAAGTAGAGTAAATAGTAACATTTATATTCCTGGCACTTTTGGGAATACTGCACAGAAACCATAGGTCCGGTGATCATAATTCCAGTGCTCATTTGTAGGAGACGCTTGTGTCTAACCCTATTACTTTGTTCATTAATTGACCATCATCTTTTAGATCAGTGCTTCTCAAGATCGTGCTACCCACTGCGCCAACGTGACACCCTCAAAAAGTATTTTTTAAAATCATTTGAAGATTTCAGTGCAAAAAAAAAAAAGACAAAAAAATAGACGAAAAAAAAAAAAACAGGATTAAAGTGAATATTCTCTCTACTGATCAAACCTGAAAAATTGCCTAGGCAACAACAACAACAAAAGCAACACTAGGATTAATATTGACATGATCAAATAACTTTTTTGTACCATACAAAAAAGGAGGCATGGCACCCAACCACACCACTAAACCCAACCATCATTGTCGGATAAGCAAATCGCAATAAATTGTACGAATGAGATCATACAAATTCATATTAACCACTAAACCAAAAAGCTACGAATTTCCTTGAGATCGTGTTGTCCTCAGGCTCCAGTTTTATGTTTAATGTTGATTGTAATAAATCAAAGAAAACAATTTGGCATTGTTGTTTTTAAGTTATATATACCATGATTTTACCAGTCTGGACTGCATGGAACTCGGCATTTTTTACAGTGTATTTATTGTTTGCAGCCTCCGACTTCAACCTCCAAAAGACCTTAGCAACATAGACTTTTAAAAAATTTAGTTCTTTCCTCAAACTCCGAAACACCTACACCCTTCACACTTCAAGATCTCTTCCAAGGTTATACAACATTCATAACTCGCAAACTTTGAATCTCTGTTCAAACTGCTCAAGGATTCAAACAACACAAGACTTTCAAGAGCTTCAGAAAACAAGACTTTACCAGACTTCAGACTGCAATTGCTGGAGCTCAAACAGCATGATGCTAACAATGTCGAGGTCATGGGTTCAAATCCCAAGCAATGCATACACTGACAAAATAAAGCCATTTAAAAACTCCAGTATTTTTCTTGATAAACTTTCACTTTTTTTTTAAGTGGGTTAATTTTATATACATTTTAGAATGACATGCAGCATTCCCACATGAAAAGAATACTATATTAAGTTTAGCAAATTCCAAGGTGTGGTTACTGTAGTAAAGCGTACTAAACATTATAGGTTTTACAAGTATTCATTTTATTGATGAACAATTTTCATCATAACTTTAAAAATAAAAATGAAGTGATGATGATGACAACTTTGATCAAATATACTGACATTTTCATTGACTAATGACAATGACACGAGAATGGGTTTGAGGGACGTTTTTTGGAAAATATCCAATCAGAATTAATCTTGATGTGATGACATTTAAAAAGTAACTGATCACATCATCATCCATGAGGGCGTCTGTCTGATTAAACTATAATAAAATGGCGACAAAAAGAAGATTCACATTTGATAGACAGTAACAAATCTAAAGCAACATCAGCATGCCTGGGAATCATCCCGAAATTTAGCAAGGGTAAACTCAGATCTTTTTAATTTACTTGAGTGTTTGTTGAATTGACTCTGTTAGATTGTATATTGAAAGTTATTAAATTGGTCAGTCTTAAATTCATATTATCTTGGCATTCTTTTTTGTGAGGAGCTGTTTTTTTCACATTTTATTTTAGCTGCGGCTAGAGTTTATCTAACCCGCTAACTCACACTAGGTTAACGCGCTGCCTGCGTCTGCCTCGATCGTCATGACAACATTTACATTTACAATGTACCTCTACCAAAAAAAATAATAATAATAATAATAGTTTTAGGGAACTGCTTTATTGCTTTATTTAAGTGATGTGATTATTTCTTACGTCTGTAAGGATGTAATGATACTGTAGTGCTTTAAGCTTCGCTTATCAGGGAGTCGCATACACTGCGTCACAGTAAAGCGCACTTATATTTTTTACGTACATTTTATGCTTTATAACTCCTATATGTGAGTTAAGAGAGCCATGGGACTGAGTGCACATTTTACAAGATAATACATTAACATTTGCCAGTCATATGACATTATTTATTTAATCAGTGCTATAGCTGAGCACCATGCACTGTAACACCAACTACAACAGTAAAGCTTGCTATAGGCTGACATTGCAAAGTGAACTTTTAATGGCTTGTTTAACAGACTGGTTAAAAGACGTGTAGTTTACCTTGTTAAAATAAAGGGTTTGCTAAATAATTGCACAATCCTGCATTCTTAGACGGCTACTGTTCTTACATGTGGATTGATTGCCAACACATAATTTTACATAATTTTACATATTATTATATAAATTAACGATAATTATAATTTTTGGTCTTCAATGGAAAAGCTATATTCCACATTTTAACTAGATTTTTTTTAAATCAAATTTTAAGTTGATATAATTTGTATACATGAATGTATACAAGATTTAATTGAATTACATTAAATTAAACCAAATTTTAGTCAACTAAATCTAAAATAGATTTAAATTTAGTCAACTAAAATAATATAGAAGACTAAAACTAAAGTGGAATTTTTGGTCAAAAACTACACTGTAAACTCCAAAAGTCAACTTTATCAATTGAAATGAGTGTAGTTAACTCAAAATTGACTAGGAGTTAATTATACTCATTTGAAAACAGTTTTGAACTCTTCAACACAGTGTTGAAGGTATTCAGTTAATGAAATACCTCAGTACTTCAACTTAAATGCAGTAACAGTCACAGTACTCAGTTTTTTATTTTTTTTATCTTTATTTTTTTTAACTCAAATGGTTTGTAGCAATCGGTTTTCTCAAACGGTTTAAGTTCCCTTAACTTATTGGATTTTACAGTTCTCAGTTGGTTTGAGTTCTCCTCATTTATTGGGTTTTACTGTGCTCACATTGCTTTGTTTACTCTAATGGATTAAGTTCACACTGTTCATTAGCATTAGTTTGTGAACTCAAATGGTTTGCTGCAATCTGTTTTCTCAAATGGTTTGAGTTACCTTACCTTTTTGGGGTTTACAGTGTAAGACTAAAACAAAATCAAAATTTGCTGTCAAAATTAACACTGATTTTACAACACTAATAAATGATGCAATACTGTTAACTGTAATAAATACTGTAGCAGACTTTAGTATTTAATATACTAAACTGTGGTGTATAGTAGTATTTAGTATTTTGTCGCTTTTTTATATCCTAAACAACCATGCCATGACACATAAAGCTTGATTTTCTTTTTCTGAAAGTATTGGAGAGTTTCCTTGGCTGTGTTTTGGACCATTGTCTTGGTGAAACGTCCACCCTGGATTTATCATCCTGAAAATGTAGATGTTGGACTAAAGCAGCTAATATTCATTTACAATTACAACGAGCAGAGAGTTGCTGAATAACAACTGAGAGATTTCAGCTGCTGTCTGGGCTTCACTGCCGTTCTACACCCACCGTTCTTCATGTGTTCCTGCATCATTTCATTAAATTATGCATAACTTAATTTGTCAACCATTTATATTTGTTTTCTTTGTGTATATCTTTACCTGTTACCAAAATTCGGTGAAAATTTCAAGTCAATGACACATATAGAAATATGTTTTCTGAGAAAAATGTTGACATGTTTAACATTTTCCCTATTCTATCTGCTCTATTGTTTACAAAATAATTATTCATAGAAAAAGCCAAAAAAAAAATCCACAGATTTTGTCTGGCCCTGCACACAACCCACATTTATATTCTAGGATGGAAATACAAGGATTAATCAAGCCCAAACTGTCAGTAAATGCTTCATTTTCACAACTAAAAATTTGCTGTCAAACGTCTCAGTCATAAACGGGGGAGGCGTTGCT